ATGCAATGTCACACGATTTATTTAATTGAATTTATCAAGTGTGATTACTTATACTAGAGTTGTATCACCGTTAATTCTAGATATGGGCTATTAGCAAAAAACGCCTCTAACGTTTGAAATTCATTGTGCAAAACACCACAATCTTGCCCTTTTTTTTGACATTTTTCACTCTTATTCGCACCTTTCATTATGGAAATAATCATTTTCATCAATTGTCATCTATCTTCTCAAAAAGTTGTAAAATAACGAATATACACGTATATTTAAATAATACAAAAAGAAAAGAAACGAAAAATAAAGAACCAACTGCAACCATACTTCCAATTTTTTTTAAAAAGTGCAAACGAGTCTCAAACAAATTATTTAAAAAATAAAAATAAAAAAAAATCTTTTCTTTCTCCTCATGCACCACTACCATTTTTTTCCTCATCCAATCACTGGTGGCCGCAAAGTGGGACTTGGTGGGTCAACTTCTAAAAAATAGAGCTTTTTTTTAGAGCCCGTTTGGTACCGATTAAAATCCAATTAAAATTGAAAATATAGTCGTTATTGGGCCCCACTCGTCTAATAAAATTCAACTATAACGGCTAGTTTTTCAATTTTAATCAGATTTTAATCTTTACCAAACGGGCTCTTAATGTTTTTGTCTCAATTTGGAAGATCATTACAAGATGTCAAAACGAATTCGAAATATTGCATTCTTAATACCATTTCGAAGTTCTCACAACCTTGTTTTTCAAGTTGTTAACAATGCGTGAAACAGTAAATCGTAGCAAATATTACAGCGCATCAAAATAGGTTGCTTCAAATTAATATTTACAGAATTTCGATAATAAGCTAATTTTAAAAATTCTCTGATGATTGTAAACTAATAGAATCCATAAATCGCATACGTCATCTCGAAACTCGTTTCGAGAACTTCATTACATATTAAAAGCGTTTCTCAAAAAGTAACGTTTAACTCGAATTTTCTTTAAAATTTTTCAATTATTTTATTAACGTTTATTATTTTTGCGTAATAAATTCTCAATATAATTTACATTATTTTATTAGAAAATTTTTCATGAGATATGATGTCAAAAAATTTCCAATCGTTACAAGGTTGGACTGCAAGTTTTGCTCCTTCAAGTTGCAGTGGCATAATAATTTTTTAAAGAGTAACTTGATTTTATATAGCAGCAAAGACCAAGCTAATGATCGACTTCAACATTGTGGTTTGGCAAATTGGCAATAACTTTTTGCAAGATTGATTCTCTCTCCCTAACTCAAAATGCCTGCATCCACCATATCCAATCTCACTTTTTCCCTCAAATCCGTTCAATTTTCGCACAGACCTCCATTTCATATAATTCTGCAGGAAATCTAGCATTAAGGACATCAGCTTGGCCTTGGATAAAATTGGAAAAATTGCATTAAAAGTGGCTCTAGTGTGGTAGAAATTGGGCTGCGGCCAGCCCAATCGAAGGATTTCAAGCAAGAAAGCCTGTCTTTTTGCACGTAGATTAATACGTCAAGGACTAAGGCTTCAGAGAGACGCAAATTGAAGAAGGAAAGGGCTTAATCAACATCAGATTTGTCATGGGAAAAAATGGGTATCCCGTTCCGAGTTGAAGTGAAGTGGTGGATTTAGAGAAGGAAGGCAAAAATGGGTTCGAATAATAAACGTAGGGCTGGATGGAAGTGATGGCCGCGGTGGAGAAGTGGAGGAGGAGCCAAATGGTGGGAACGGAGCTCTGCTGGGAGACGTGAGGTCCTGATCAAATCAGTTGTCCAAGCTATCCCAACTTATTTTATGAACCTATTCCGGTTGTCTCTATCACTTTGCAGGGACATGGGACATTGGGATGGTGATGTAGCAGTAAACAAAATTAACTGGGTTTTGTGGGATGCGGTTTGCCAAAGTAAGTTTGCAGAAGGTTTGGCGTTCCAAAATCTAGAACTGTTTATCATGCTCTGGTAGCCAAATTGTCACGGAGGTTGCTGGTAAATGGAATTTCTCATGTGTTAAAGGGTAAATATTTTCCTCCTGATTTTCTGGAGGCTGCAAGAGTGGATGCTTTTGCAATGTGGAAAAGTATTATCTCAGACAAAGAATTGCTGGTCCAAGAATTGCGGTGGAGAGTTGGAAACGGGAGGGGAATTAATATCCACTTTGATGCAAGATGGGGAATTGAACGTATTTGAGGAAAAAAAAGTGGGATTGGATGGGGAAAAAAGTTTGCTGAAATATTCTTCAGCTTCTCTCCAGTTCACACGACGAGCAACAACTTAAGCAACAGGTCATCCTTCCAGATCCTTCCAATCACGTTCAGCACATGCTTCTCTCCAACTCATCAGTTCACGTTCTCAGCAGGTTCCCAGCATGATTCAGCACCTCATTCTAGCCTATTCTAGATCCTTCTTATTGTAGTTAGTTTGTTAGACTTTCTCTATAAATAGAGCTCTTGTATGCATTGTAATTCTTAAGTTGATTGAATGATATATTCATCTTCTTCTCTGCCATTCCA